AAAATCAGATTCATTTGGAAAGTGTTTCAAACTAACTAGCGAAACGAGTCAAGGACATGTCTTTTTTATACCTTGAGTCACGTGTATTTTGCGATCAAAGGTTTTACATCATACATAGGTAATTTGCCTTTGATATTCTCTTTCGTTTTTATAAAGAAAAATATCACTTATAACACGCCTATTTACCTTCTAGATTTATTTTTATTGAGTCATTATATTGAAGAAATAATTTCATAAATCAATATATATATACAAATTATGGCTACTATTGAAAGCTTTTCAATGATCTTTTATTATGTATGTATTGATTTATATACAATAGTTGTAAAAGCCGACTTATATTTCATGCAATATATACAGTCTGTCTCGCTGATGAATGTTATTGAAAAAACATCAAATGCTTTATTTGAAATAATCATTGTTTTAACAAAACCTAAAAAAGACTGAGCATCATATTTCAAAAAGAATAGAATCATAGATTGTTCATTGTGATGATAATACTTTCTATTAAACAATTGCATCAACTAGACCAAGATGAAAAGCGGCTATTTTTCCATTATATTCATTAATAATCATTATCATCAACATGAACAACAATTCAATTCGTGCTCATATAAAATGTTTACTCAATGTCTATATGACGCGCCCATGACATCAGATAAAGATTGTACGTGTCATATTATTGATGAACAAAAGAACTGTTGATTTCCTTTTTCTTCTTTCTACATTCAATCTAAAGACAAATATGTTTGACAATATAAGAACGAAGACGAAAAAAGAAAATCAACATAAATATATGTTGTCATATATAAACGCGTTAATTGTTCATTTTTTTCTTCTTCTTTCATCTTTTATTTAACACATACATTAATAACATTTATCAAAACTTCACTACTTCCTAAAATTACTTAATTGAAAATATTAAAATTTTAATCAACATGTCTTTTCACTACATTAATTTTTTCATAACTTCAATACGATTAATACTTTTCTATTTTAACGATATATAATAAAGCAACTGATTTATTACTTTTACCAAATAGAAAGTGAACATGAAAGATTATTTCGATTGTAAAAAAAAACTTAGTGATGATAATCATATTGAAAGCAAAAAGCAGAGGTTGTAATTCAGATAAATATTTGTCTTTAATATACAAAACAGTTGAAATTAATCAAAGAATTTATTTTGAACAAAATGATAATTATAAATGTGCACATCTTTTTTTTATTCTCTTTATAATAAGATACGATGTATGCAATTATATATATATATATTATAAGAATAAAGAAAGAGAAGAAAAAGCAGAAAAGAAAAAAAAAACTAGAGTGCGTGCAACAAATTCGTTTGTTCAAGAGAAAAAAAAAGTACAGCACAAATATACAAATACAAAGAGTGAACAAGTAGATTATCTGACACAAACAAAAAAAAATAATAAATAGGTTAAAGTAGAATAAGCAGCAAGATAAAAAAAACTGAGACAGATTGAGATTTAATTTTGTTTTTCCGAATTCTATTCTATGTCATGAATAAATGATTAAAAAAAAAAGAATATTTTTTTTTTCACCGAAAAAGATATTATTTGATAAATCATCACCGTTTGTTTTTGTTAAACATTGGCCGGATTTTCAAAATGAAAATAACTTCGTGATGTCGGATAGATAGGTGCTGCTGAATAACCTATTCGTCTTGTTTGTTGTTGCTGTTGTTGTTGTAATTGTTGATGAGACATATTCATCGGAATATCATTGTTATGACTATATGACGTAAAATTTGATGGTTGAACGGCGAATGTCGATGGATATGGTGAACGATTCGATGATGGCAAAATAGATGAATAAGATGGTGATTGATGATTTTTTAATGATTGTGAACCATGCACGTTTGTTTGTAAAAATTGTCGGGGAATTGGTGGATGAGATGATTTTTGATTAATTACAGATAAAGAAGATGGACCAGGAACATGTTTCGATTGATAATCATGTGTTCCATATGATTCATGACGTGTCGGTGTAAAATGTTCAGTTTTTTGTTGTCCATGCGAAGATATTTGATTAGAAGTATCAAAACGATAGGGTTGATAAGCTTGTTTTTGTTCATGTGTTTGTGATGGATAAGAAAATAACGTTGGAGAATTATCATTCTAAAAAATTCATTTTTCAATAGTTTTATTTAACAAAAAAAAATATATTTACATTTGAATGTTTCGATGATTTGCGAGCGGATGATGATGATGATGAGGATGTTGAATTTGTTCGGGAACTAAATGGTAAAGGTGGAGGTGGATAATAGGGTGAATGATTATCGTGAGGAGATAGTTGATATTGAATAACATTTGATTTTAATTCGGATTGTTCTTTTCGTTTTGATCTAAATTTCAAATACAAAAAAACATCAAATATTCTATATAATTAATATAGAGAAACTTACTTTGCAGAAAATAAATTCGAAAAACGAAATCGTTGTTTGTCTGATTTATTTGATCTATCATCGCTTGTCAAGTCTAAAGAAATAATTTTTTTATAAAATATATTTTATTCTTTTAATCAAGGAAATCAATTTTTCAAAGACTTCCGACATTTCATTGTCATTTTAGAAATGAAGTCTTCTTCAATATTAATGACCTTTTCTTCTTCTATTTGAAAGGGACATTTTTATTAATTCAAAATGATCTTCTTACCATTATCATTTAAATTTGAATTTTGACAATAAGATTTATCAACTGCTTGTCGAAATGAATCATTACAAGCTCGACTACGTAATTTTGCTTGACGTTTACGTTCTTCATCTGGATTTAATATAACATTTGGTGATTCACATTCGTCTACGAGTTTTTGAATACTTTCAAAAGATGATGAACGAATAAGACCTGGTGATGAACGATTCGTACTTGACGATGGATCAGGTAATACTCGCATTGGTTGTTCTATTTAGAATTAAAAAAAACTCAGATATATTAAAGTAATGAAATGAAACAGATATTGAAACCAATAAAAACATGCTCATTAAGAATAAGACTTTTTTTTTTTCAAAAACATGCTTTTTTTTCGAAAGGGAAAATAACCCATATGATTATCTATCTGGTTGTTTTTTTGTTCATTCATTCATTTATCAAAACATGCAAAAAGAAACGTTTTGATTGAAAAAGAGACCTGATCGTCTCGTTACGGCATATCGACAATGATTATCTGTCTTATTAGAATCATGATCATCGTCATCATCGGATATATCGATGACAGGTGTCAGAATTTCAATTGATGCTGCATTCGACATCGGATATGATTCTATAATTAGATCAATTGAGAAAAAGAAGAGAATTGATTCAAATAAAGTCCGAGATACTTTTTCAAGGTCAAATATAAAGAAATAAAGCATAATAAATAAATCATTTTATTTACTTCGATCACTATGTGTTCGACCTTCATGAAATGAACGTTGTTTCCATTGTATAACTTGTTTATTAGGTTGATTTGTTAAACGACGTTTTTCAGATATACTTTGACGAAATATTGTTTCACGTTCAAATGGATTATTAACACTATATTACAAAAAATAAATTTTGAGATTATATTGCGAATAGAAGGAGAGGATCGATTTATAGATATAGCTACTTTTTTTTAGAACTGATAATAAATGAATTAGTCTTACCTTTTACTGTCCACATCATCTGGAGTTTCTAGAAAAATAAAAAAACCTTTATAAAATATAGGAAACGAATGAAAAAGAACATACGTTGTTCGTTTTGCTGTTGAATAGGTGTTTGTCTATTTGTTGATGATGATCGAGGACTAGATGAATGAATATTAGAATCTGTTAAACGTGTTGATTCTAATCGAGAAGAATGACGACCTAGAAAATGTCAGTTGTTCAATATTTGCTACCATTTTTTTATAAACTAAATTTTACTTGTATGTTGTGATGGAGGTTTACGATTTAGTGGTGGCGGTGGTGGTGGTACTACAAATGTTGTAAGATCTAATTCATTTTCATCATTATTCACTGGAATTAATGATGGTGATGATAAATCAATTTCTTTAACATATCTTTTCGAATTAATATGTTGTTGTTCTTCATCTTCTGTTGTTATTGGTGAACGTGATATTGTTACTTTAATATATCCCGGATGAATTTCACGTCGTACAGCTTCATGTAAAGTAGCAGCAGCTTCTAAATTCGATAGATTTATTAATGTTGAATCATTAATAACCAGGAGCTGATCATTTGGTCGAAGTCTATTATCCTAAATATATGAAATATAAATTATTTTTACATCATTCAAAATCTCAATAGACATACTCGAGATGCTGCACCTCCAGTTAATATACTTTTAACGAATATTCCTAAATCAACAGATTGTCCATCAACCATTGATGTTTTGCCTTTAAGTGTTATTCCAAGACCAGCTGATGATGTATCATTTAATGGAATATCAAATGTCATTATCGGTGGTTTTATTTCATTTGTTATCTTATCATGTATTTGTAGTCCATCATTAATCTGTAAAAAACAAAAAAAAAATACATACGAAAATAATAAAGAATAAAAATTTACAAGATCTGATGGTACTAATCCATCACGTTGTCTTGATATACAGAATTCAACTGTATCGCCAACACGTGTTTCACGTAATAAACCCACTGTTTCTTGTAGCGACATTTGTGTAACATCAATCGAATTAACTGTTAATAAACGATCACCACGTTGTAAACGTCCATCTTCAATTGCTGCACCTTTAGGAAATATTGTTTTAACATATATAGGATTGGCAACACCGGTAGGATTGTCACGTGATGCTAATTTAAAACCAAGACCATCATTGCCTAACAAAAGAATCAATATATAGTTTTCTATATTGACTTCATAGTATCATTTGGAAGATATCCAGCACTGATTTCAGGCAACAATACGTACAATATCAACTTATTTTCTTTCGAACATAACTCAATGAAATAAATACATAATCTTAAAGTATTCAACAACTACTTTACATAAATTTCATTGCTTTTCAATGTTATTGTGAGAGTGAAGTACAAAACAAGTAACTCTCGAATATTTTAAATCTCTTTTAATATTATTTTCGAAATATTTCTTCTTTTCGTCATTAATTGGCTTGCGGTTTTTTTTATAGCATAACGTTTCACTGAGTACATACAATTAAAATGACATATTAAGTAAACGTTATCATATATAATATTGCATATCAGTCTCGTTAGTATTGACCTTTTGTTCGAATTAGTATTGACTTAAATACCTATTTCAAAACCTTAGTCGTTATATCGACCTATCGATTTGAACGATAGAAGATATTTTTTAATTGAAAGAAAAAACTTGAGAACAAGGTCTCTAAACCGCTTTTACGAGAATCATATATCACAGGTGAAAATGTCAATTAATTTAAACATGTGTAATCGAATATTTTACTTCTTCAGATGCTTGTTTTTCATCGATTAGAATCTATTCTTAGAAAAAGATTGTTCTAGATAACAGATCTTGTCGAATGTAAAAACTTTTAGTACGATAAATCCTAACTAAAAGCAGAAGAGTCATGATGGACTAACAAATGTACACTGTACTAATCAACATTGGTAATAACCGGCAAAAAAAAGAACCTTATATTTATGATGCAACTGTGAAATTCAGATTCACATAATGTTTGAAATCATTAGTCGCTACTGTTGAAGCACTGAGTTCAAGTATAGTCTGACAGGTTAGTCAGTACTTACTTTCATAGTCATTATCTATACAAATAAACTTAATATCTCATATTAATTCAGATCGTCTGATACAAATCTAAATAATAATGATTAAGTACAGATAGATAAGAATCATTTCGTAGAGGTCACGATTTTGATCGATATCAAGAGATTCTTAAATGACTACAACCTCACATTCACGAAAGAATTTTCTTTTACCTTTCATAAGTGCTATTTTAATAATTTTCCCCAATCGTCTTGTATTTAATGAATTCATATTTGAGTCGTTGTCAACTAATAACAGATCATTATTCTGATTAATTTCAGATAATGTTGAACGTTGTTTGTTACTTGCACGAAATGATAATGGTTTAGGTGGTACCGGTGGTTTTTTTATATTTCGAATAATTTTTAATTCAAGTTCTGGTTCAAGTAATGCTGTTCGAAATATTAATTGAGCTCTACAAAACAAAAAATGATTTGATTAGAAGAAAAAAACTAAAAACATTCTTATTTACTTATCAAATGAACATCGTTCGATATTTATTCGATTAATTTCAATAATTCGATCATTTATTTGTAATATTCCTTGTCGTTTAATACGTCCCTCAGCTTCGATATTTTGTAAAACAAGTCCATTAACTTGTTGTTCATCACCATTATAAGGTACAACATGTATACCTAACGGACTATTTTCTTTTGGTAATATAATTGAAAATATTTTATCACCAGTTTTGTCATCTGTATAAATATTATACATTCCTTGAATATTATCACATGATTGATTTTTTATTGCATCATGTGTTGGTGGAGAATTTGTTTGTCTATATGTTATTTTATTATTAGATGATGATTGATGAGAGATCGGCTTAATAAATATATATTTATAAAAATATAGAAAAATATGTTGAAATTTATTTTATACCTGTTGTAAATTAAAATTCGGATCAGTTTTAACACGTAATGATTGATCTGTAAATGAGAAAAAAAATAATTTATGTTTTCATCTGTAGTTTAATATTCGAATTACATACATAATGTCTATAGATACTTCTATATGTCATGATTTAAAAATAAATAGAGGACATAAAAAATTATTATCAATTCTCTCGGTTTTTTTCCACGATGTCAACTTGATCTTATGGAATAATAAAGGTTTCAATCAAGAATTAACAAACATTAGTATTAGTGTTATGTAAAAAAAGAACGAAAAAGTGCTTATTGAATTGAGAATCATAATAAATATTTTTCTAGAGGTAATTCAATAGGATTTTTGTTAAATGATACGTCATATTATATATTATTGAATTGAAGGAGTGAACAATCCGAAAAATATATATAGCAGGCTACCTACTAGTTAAATGATTACATATATATGTTCATCAAATGCTCACGTCCCCATTGCTGTAATTCGATACTATTTGTTGGGTAAATTTAAAATTCTGCTCATTCTTCTTCTTCATCTCTCTTTCAGACTAATAAAACATAAATGAGTTCACCAATGTTTATACAAACGCGGTCAAAAGCAGAACCAATTAATCATCGTTATAAATATCTATCAACGATGTGCGAAATTTATTTTGTTAGTGTTTCAGTTTTTTTCTTCTTCTTATTTTAACCTGATGTAAGAATAGTTTAATTCACTCTCAGGGACATGTTATTTTTACGACAACGTTGATGTGTAATGAGACCTATCTCATTCATCAACCGTCACGCACATACACATACATACATACATACATATATATAGATATATATATATACAGAGTGAGATAGTATATACTCAAATTTCTTCATCATCGTTCACTTTGCCTGTTGTTCAATACTCTTGACATGAGCATGATTTATAAGTTCATATTTCGTTCTCTTCATATTTATTATTTGAAATAAAACAAAAATTGATAAAGCAATAAACTTACTTCGTAGATCGGCATCGGTTACGATCACTTCATGACGATTATTTGAAGATGGTACCATTAAACGATCGTGTTCCGATAAACTTGATGATAGATTTGAACTAGTCATACTTGAAGATAATTCACCATTACTATTCATTGTTGTTGTTGTTGTCGTTGTTGTATATGATGGATGTATTATTTGATGAGATTCAATAATAGCAAATAACTAAATAAATTTGTCATTAGCAAAAAAAACAGAACAAACATTAAATAAATAATTACCTCTTCTCCATCATCAACTATATCACATACTCGATCATCAGAATCTACAATAGCACCATTATTAAGTTGTAATTGAACTTGATTGCTGTTCAAAATCGAATTATTATTGTATGACTATAAAGAAATGAAAAGTTCATTTTGACTGACATATATACACATTTGTTTTTGATACATTAATAAATGCTATCATATCCGATTTCTATTTATCGAATAAATAGTCAAAAGAATAGTCTTACCAATTTCGAATATTTAGCTGTTGCTAAATCAATTAATTTATGTATAGATATATCGCCCTTGGAACCACATGGTACAACAACTTTTGTTTCACCAAAATTAATTATAACTTTCATTGAAAATTACAAATAAAAACTCGACAAATAAAATGATAAATTAATAACTTGTAATTTCATATAATACATCTTTGTAAAAAACTAGAAGAAGAAAAACGAAAAAATGTATATAGTGATGATGATTTTGATGACGTCCAAGAAGGAAGGAATGAAGAACGAGTAGTAAAAAAAA